TGCGGACGCAACGTAAGGTACTCCACTATGTCGATCTATGGGCGGGCCATACTACGTAAGGAAGATGGAGAAGGAAGAAGACACGGGAGGAGTCGGTGGGTACACCGCTGGCAAGAAAACTGGAGAGAGAGAAACGAAGAACGACGGAGAGCGATCGAGAGAGACGAAGAATGACGGACGAGAGTGTGCGGGTCACGCGGATGCGTGCCTCTGTGCACACGCACGGGGGTGCGACTTTTAAGAAACAATAATACTATTTTCTAAACACAACTGCTTGGGCTTTGGAGTTTTCCTTTTTTATCTCTACAACAAATCCACTTTGAAACGGGTAACGTCACCTCATCTTCGTTACATTTGGGAGCCAGTGACCAGTCTAAAACCTGGGTATTCCTTTGCCGACGCAACGCAAGGTACTTCACTATATCGATCTACGGGCCAGCAACGAAACAGAGAAAGAGAGTGACGAGAAAAGGAGCAAGAGTAGGAGAAACGAAGAACGACGGAGAGCGATCGAGAGAGACGAAGCATGACGGAGAGAAAGAGAGGGGCGGAAAGAGCGAGACGCGGGAGAGAGAACGGTGGATACACACGGCGTAAGAACTACTGTGAGTAAGTCAGCGCGAGGGAAGGAAGGGCCGTTGTTGCTTCCGTGATACTGCGAGGGCAAGTCCGAGTCTCGACCTATGTGAGAGATAGAGAAGATAGCAGAAAAGAGAAGGCAAGGCTGAAAGAGCAGAGACGTGAAAGATATATTGCGGACTGTAATGACTAAAAAAAATTATAGAATTTAATTGGTGGAAAGCTTCAATCTCGTGCCGTCGAAACTGGACGTGAAAGTAGGACATTATCAGGAATGTGTATTTTTATCTGTTTTATGTACGCGGTATTTTTTTCATGGTAGATGCTTGTGACCGTTTGTCTTTGTGTGGGAAAATCTTTTGTGTGAAACTTTGTGTAGAAATGTGTGATCGTTTTCTTGAATTTGTAGTAATGGTACGTTTACACTATATTGTTAGACTGCTAAACACATTTTTCAATTAGAGTTTGATAGGCCTAAAACATTTTATCGAAAATATGAAATCAGTTTTGCGTTTTTTTTTTGGCTGTTTGATGTGTAGAAGTGACAAAGGTTGTCAGGTCCACATCGGTGCTGTGTGTAATAATAGGATTAAGAGATTTAAATGAGGATATAATGGAGCCCATAGCTAAGCGTGGTTTCGGTAATGCGTGTCGGTATACGCATACGCCACGTACGTTACAGTCTAAAAAGACGCAAGAGTGAGAGTAATTGCAGCGATATCAAAATGTTCACTGCCAAATGTGTTAAATTTCTGACTAGTATGGTGATCGAACTTTATCGTTACTTGTTTTGTAGAGTATAAATATAGTGGTCAGAATCTTAAGTTCATTTGTTTTGTATAGGAAGCCTTATATGTGTGTTTTCTTGTTGTATTTTGATTGTTGTTTTGTTTGTGTATTGATTGTGGGTTGTTTAATCGGACATAAAGACGTTTCTCTCGTTGGGGTTGAGTTAGGAAAGTATTAGGGTAGAATTTTTTTTTTAGAATTTGTTTAGGTTTAGGTTAAAGTGTAGATCAGCGGGGACGCTGAATCGATGACAAGGTAGTCATCGTCTTGAAGAAGGGGGAGGTAAATGTAACATATGATTTACAGATGTTACATAAATTATTTAGAGACGCGGAGTGCGGCTAGACTTAGGGTTGTTTTAGTGGCAGTCTATATGTAGACAGAGCGTCGCGCATCTTGTGCGGCTAAATTGATGTTATAGGGAGAATTGTAAACGTGTTTTAGGTCGGGCGTTTCTAGGGTCATTGTGAAATGGAGGTAGGACGCGGTCTGGGAGAACGGGTGACATGTGCGCTCATGATGTAGAGGTTTTGGGGGTAATATATAAAAGAGAGATGAGAGAGACGGGAGAAGGGACAGAGATGTAGGAGTCGAGGAGTCTGGTTGTGGTCGCGGAAGTAAGCACACGCGCTTACGCGCGTGTGCGCGTTTCTTTGTCTCTCTGTGCAAGATGTGACTACACTGTGTGCAAGATATTAAAGTTTATTCAATTTAATACACAAGTTTAGATTCCTTCTATATCATTTATTCAACAAACGTAATTCAACGTTACATTAGCATGGGTTGAGAACTCTGCATTTATTTATGTCGAACAACCACAGATTCAAGGTCGAGACTCCTCCTGAAAATTTTGCCTGCTAGGTTTTGAGCATTTCCAGTTTGTAGTCGGATTCCATTTCAAAAACAAAAACGGCTGACAGGTCATTTTGACGGAATAGCACAACTACACGACAATACCCATCTAACTTTTCACGATTTCTAGACGTCCGTAAGTCATCTACCTTGCGTGCGTAATGCAAATTAGTTCACTCTAGTACCGATATTACTGCAAGAAACTCGAAATGACCATTTCCAGAAACGAAATAGTGCATAGTTGTGTGGACACCAGTGGCGGATCTAGAGGGGGGTTGGGGGGAGGGGGGTTGCAACCCCCGTTCAGCCACTGACTAATGTTATGATACCAGTAAAATAAGGCCAAAAAAGTCAGTCTGCAGGCTGATAGAAACTGGGGATTTCCCCCAGTGACCACACAGCTGCCTGAATTTTCCAGATGGGAGGGGGCATGCCTCCGGACCACCATAGCACCGCGTGCCTTCGGCACGCCTTCACTCAAATATATGCAGCCGGCTGAAAGGGGTGATAGGATATGTTTACTAGGCACTTCTAATTTTAACATATATTTTACGATATATTAAAGAATGATGCAAAAACCCTAAAAAGTGCCCTAACCCTAACCCTAACCCTGACCCTAACCCTAACCCTAACCCTA